CAGCCATGCTGGCGTGGAGATTCTGGGAGTTGAAGTCCACACATCTTCAAGCGGCCAAGGTTGAGAAACACTGCTTTAGAGGTTAGCAATTTCCTACAAGAAACAGTTTCCCTTGAAACGTATTAGGAGAGCAAAGGGAACAATTGCTGGGGCAGGTGCCCCCTTCTTCATCGATCAGTTTTAATGAGTATGTATGTTGGATGACTCGTCTGTCTCTTTATTTTCCTGCTTGCACATGGATTACCAGGATGATAAGGTAACCTTGTTGCAGATAATTTTATTTTTAATGCTAGAACCCTTGTAAACCTGTCACGTGTCGGTGTTAATGTATTCAAGCAAGCCACTGAGTTGACCCCATGAAAGTAACAGGTGATGTTTTGATCTGCAGTACATTACACATGTGGTATTTTTTATCAGTTCTTCGGCAACAGCTTTCCTAAAATAAGGATGTGCAAAAGAAAAATGTGGTTTCTTTATAGCGCTTTAGCTGGACAAGAATCTTTTTATTGTGTTGCTGTATTTGTTACAGCTTTGAAACAACCCTGGGAGATGTTCTTTAGACAGAGTGCATGACTGGGCCAAGGATCATCTAGGGAAGTTCATGACTCAGTCGGGATTTGAACTCAAGCCACCTCATAATGCTACTCCAACACAGTTAGTGCAAACTGCTTTAGCAGTTCCTCTGGAAGAGCAGTATAGACATGTCCAGATCATTATTTAGTTATCATTATGATTATACCACAGAGTTTATATGCTGCTTAGGCAGGCATGAATATGTACTACTGCATCTTTCTCATTTGTTCTTCCATTGGTTATCCCCAGAACACCATGACAGACTCTACAATCCTTTTGGAAGATGTACAGAAGATGAAGGACAAAGGAGAGATTGCTCAAGCTTATATTGGACTAAAGGAGACAAACAGGTATATGTATTCAGATCATACCCTGAGTAAAAGTCTTAAATCTTTGTCTCCTTTTTGTCCCCCAACATTAATCATTATCTCTATTCTTTTTTCCTCAATCTCTCTGTCTCTCTCTCTCACACACACACACTTATGGGGTATACAGAACATTTCTACTGTTGAACTGCTTTGAATTTGAAAGGCTCTGTTTTGCATTTGAAACAGAAAGTGCTTGTAACTTGAGATACAATACCGTGAGCTCTAAACACTTCCAAAATGATCAAAACAGCCCATCTTGAATGTGAAATAGTTGCTTCAAACTCCAAACAGGGTGCTTTAAATTCAAAACACTGTCCGCATCTCCAGCATTTTCACTCCATAAATCTTGACTTCCAAACATATACATTTTAGGTCCTTTTGTTTTAGTCTCCCTAAGAGCAAGATGGTGTCGGTGCCTTCAGCTTTCAAAGGGAAATAAAAGCTCGCATTTGATGTTTGAAAAGTGTTTTGTGGGAGGTGGTCTTTATACACTATTCTGAAATTTATTAAACTCTGTGTTCCCATTATGTGAAAACATAGCTTAATTTTACGCCTTGGTTTTCATCTCTCAGCGTTGTTCTTGGGCAAAAACCAAACTTTTTAAAATACAAAATTGTTCCAGGTAGAAGGAGCTTGGTAGATAACATAGGGGACTGGCACTACTTCTCGCCAACGTTGGCTGCAGTATCAAATCTGCCCTTAGACAGAATGGCATGAAAATACTTTCAGATTGGCCTAATAGTCCTTGGAATATTACGTTGGCCTCCTATCACAGTGAATAATGGCTAGCTGAGAAGATTCTTCCCTTCTTCAGTTACTTGTGGTGTGTAAAATCCTTATCTAAATGTATAAGAATATGGCTTATTTGCTCTGGTTTAATGAATCTGGAATAAAGCAGCCTTATCTGGACACATCTTATGATCTGAATTGCTCACAGGTTATCTTTTACAACTGCATTATCTTAAACTTCTATATTTACATGGGAGCAAGTTCCAGTGAAATCACTGGAGCTTAATTCTTAGTAGAGTTTTAAAGGATTTCAAAAATACAAGTTGGGAAGTTTGCAGCCTTGCTGCAATTTAAGCATTAGGATCTTTGAAACCCCATGGGATTTGCTTCACAATAAACCTGTATAAGATTGCATTAGTAAACAGCTTGGAACTTACCAAGATCAAGGCTTCCTTTTTTTCCAGTTACACTGTCTTAGCTTACATTGTCCTTTAATTAGCATGTTCCATCATCTCCATCACGTGTCCCTTTTTGTGTTTCTGCATTTTAAAAAACATTTTGCTTGGAAGATCATCTCCTCAAGACTGTCATTTGCTGAATGAGGATGGAGAACTGTGGCTGGTGTATGAAGGGCTAAAACAAGCCAACAGGTTACAAGATTTCTCAGGATGGTGGTTGCAGTTTTAATTTGCATTCTTTCTTTCTTACCTTCTTGTGTTACTAACATGCTGTGGAGCTGCTTTCGGCAATTACATTCAATCCAGATGTGTTTGTTAAAGGAAAAGAAAGAATAGTGTGCATTTATTTATTTATTAAATTTACATACTGCCTGACTCAGAATGACTTTGGGCATCTAAGCCTCATATCAGAAAAGAAGTCCAGTGTTAGGATCAATGTCTGGGCATCTTCTGGGGCCATGAGGAAAGGTCCAAGCTGTAAAAATTTAAATGCAGAGGCAGAATTCATTTACAGATACTGGAGCTTCTGCATTCATCAGGAGAGGACAAGTGAGTGTATGAAACAACTCCATCACAGCCAGTAAATGCAAAATCTGTCCATCCTTTCTACTAGACGGGAGAAAGAGGAGGCCCAACTGTTGTTGTTCTGGCATTAACACATTCTTCCCCTGTGCAGTTTTGTTTCTTTATTTGGAAAGAGGGTGAGTTCCTCTGCTTCTCCTCCTGGCTTCACTGCCTGAACAGTCTCCATCAAGATAATTTAACAGAGCAGAGACAGAGGAGCAACAGAACCTGCTGCTACAATTTATGGGGGTTCACAGTATTAAAGGAGGAAGTGGGCATGTTTCCCAGAGAGTCCCTAAAATCTTGGTGTCAGCTAGAAAAGGTTGCAAAGCAAACATTAATGATCCATCTACAAAAAGAATGCATAGTCCAGTGCAAAAGGATAAATTTCAGAATACATAGTCCACTACCTATCCTAAGATTAGCAGGATGAAACATGCAAATAATTAAATGTATTATTTGCCTGTCAGTTTAAATCATTACAAATAGCTATTCTACAAAGAGAAAAACACTTTTTCAAAATACCAGATTCAGGCCATTTTGAAAAACTCACATGATCTCAACACAATCTCTATTCCCTGTTCTGTAAATAAGGCTGTTGAATGCATCTACTTGGGAATGTGGGAGTCAATTTTTTAAAATATATATATACTCTAAACCTTTACTCTTTTGTGCTGTTTTTGTAGTTGAATGATAATGGTAATTTCATTTTTAACTTGATAAAACAACTTAATGCTCAAAAAGCTACTTTTGCAATGAATGCTGATTTAACTAGTGTCTTTCCTTTTCTTGTACTGCTAACAAAACATGTACACTTAACTGCATCTTTTTGTAAGTTTGCTAGAAGCTAACTTGGGGTGGTCTATGCTGCAGGGAAAGCAGGGGAGAGGTGGCTCTGTAGCTTTTGTTTCTTGCCCTCGTGTTCTAGAATTGCAAGGTTCTAGAGCAAATGGCAAAGAAAAGAAAGGTAAATTATTCACATTTACCTTCATGTGCTTGGTTGATGTAGCTATTAGCTGATCTGCTTAGGCATATTTAAACCCTGAAAGGCTGTATCTGGTTAGAGTAGCCTAGTTTAGGTATGCATCTGTTTCTAGAAAATGCAGCATTAGTATTGATAATGATGCTTGAAGATGATTTGTACTTTTCCTCCCACAATTCACACGTAGTGAATAAATCATTAGTTCACATGCCCAAGGCTGTGCAGTGAATCAGCAGCACAGGATCTTTTGTTACCAGTTCTTCTCTTGGCCTTTGGATCAGCAATAATATCCCTCTTAAAACTGAAGTTCTGAACTTTCAAAGGCTGTGATCCTTATGGGCCATTTTTGCTTTAGTTAGGATACTTCTGTTTCTCTCTGAGCAGAATAATCCTGAGGAAAATGAACTGCTTAATAGGCATGCCTTCACTGTAATAGATTGCTTTGTCCTTTTTGAGGTCTGCCCTTAAGGATTAGGGTTACTTAACAGTTCTCTGAGGTTTAGGGGCCAGAGGTAACCTAAGATGTTAGGTGTTTGAGACAGAAGATCTAAATACTTCCTATTACTCAGTAAAAACTGAGTAATAAATGAATTGTTTTTATTCGTAATATACTATCCTTCAGTGTAGGTGGTATATGCAATCTTGTTAACTAGTCGTTACAAATAATCTGTGATTTTCTGTCCTCCCAATACCGACCCACAGACTTTTATTTTAAAGTGTCCTTCTTGCAGTAGGGATGGCTCTAGAGCAGTGTTTCTTTTTCTCAGCAGCTTTAAGATATACGGAGTTCAGCTCCCAGAATTGCTGAGAGGGGAATTCTGAGAGTTGAAGTCCACACATCTTAAAGTTGCTGAGATTGAGAAACACTGCCCTAGAAGGATCGCCTGCTTTATAATTTTGTAATTCAGTTGTCCTTGAAATTTTAAAACTTAAAACCCCAGCATGCTCATGCAGGATCACCCATAGTTCTGCTGCATGTGTGAAGTCAGTCAAGCAAAGCTTCAGTCTCAAGATTCACAAAAGGGTTTAAAGAACGCTCTTCTGGGTTTTGTTCTTTTCCTGATGTTGGTTGCTTACTCACTTCAACGGCAGTTGAAATTTCAGATCTTTGATGAAAAGCTGCAGCGTGTGCAGTCTTAAAATGTGCCTTTCTGCTTCTTTCTGGCCCTTCCTTCTCTTGGTCTTCCTCAATTGGCTTCTTGCAGGCTTCTGGAATCTCAACTGCAGGCTCAGAAAAGAAGCCACGAGAATGACCTGGAGGCCCTCCGTGGAGAGATTCAGAGTCTGAAGGAAGAGAATAATCGCCAGCAGCAGTTGTTGGCACAGAATCTCCAGCTGCCTCCAGAAGCCCGGATAGAAGCCAGCCTGCAGCATGAAATCACCCGCCTGACAAATGAAAACTTGGTAAGGGCTTTTCATAAGTCAGTAGTCAGAAGCACTGAGCTGTACTTCCTAGGCTTCGGGGAAGAGGACAAGGGAGGCAGACACCCTGATTTGTTGAGGCCTTGAAGGCATTGCTATGACTTTCCAAGCTGGACTTTAGGATTTCTTGCTTCCAGACATCTGAAGCAGGCGGAAATTGACTTTTCTTTTTTTTAGTTTGAAGGCTTGTTTTGGTTCTTCTAAGGTTGATGTAGAAAAACTGGTGGGATTCTTCTCTGTTTTGGAAGTGTCAAGGCCTTTGAAATTGCTCTTTTCTTTTTTAAAAAAGCACCATGTTGGGTGTGTTTTCTGTTGCTTGCAACATTTGTACAAATCCCGACAAAGCATCTCCAGCTCACTAATTATTCTCACATAATGCCTTGGAGGAATCTTGCAATAGTTTTTCCCAACCTAAGACCTCTAGAGGTCTTGTGGGGCTGCAGCGTGCAGCATTCCCAGCAAGCAGGGCCAGTGGTTGGCAGGATCAAGTGAGACATGAGAAGGTGGGCATAAGTATTTATCCCACACAGAGCAATGGTAAAACATCATAGTTTTTAAATTCTCTTTTATGAATCTGCTTCTCCACTGCTACTTCCAGTATTTGGGGGGAAAAAAACAGAAAGAGGGTTTATCTCAAACAGACATCTAGTATTTATCAGACTTCTGGCCTGTCCAGGGGTACTCCACTTGACCACTGCTTGTCCTACTTCCACACTGGTGATACGCCAAGCTATAATAGTTGGATTACATTTTTTTTATTTTTGAAGGATCTCTCACTTCCTCAACAGATTTGCAATATGCTTTCGTGTTTTTCCAGAAGAGCCATGTATTTGTTATGCTTATGAACTGTATTTGTGCCCATTTTTCAAACTCTGCCATTGTCTAACCCACTGTCTACTGCACAACATCACTTGTTAGATGGCTTGGTGCATGCTGTTATCAGGGTGCACTTTCTACATCCTTCAGATGAGGAATTAGCATCTTGCAAGCCAGATTCATCCTGAAGGGTTCTTCTCCCCAGTTGGTGGAGCTTAGTGGGAAGGGAATCCAATTGTTACACAGAAAAAAACCCCTTGCGATTTAATTCATCAAGATTGTAAAGAGCTGTGTCAATGTTGCTTCAAATAAGTAAACCAAATGGGATTAATTGTTCCACCATGCTTTTCTTTACAAGTCAGCTACATCTCCTTTTATCTTCAATGGGGTGATAATGGATATTGAGCACTGTGACCTGAACTGGTTCACAGGCTCGGTATTCTCAAACTGAGAAGTAGTCAATGGTTTCACTTACACTTGCCTTTCAGTTTTGAGAGACGGACACATCTGTCTCTCTGAAATGAGCCGGTAAACGAGAAACTACTTCTCCTGCGCCCTTGCTCTGTAGGAGGTTTAACTTAACATGCAAACAGTATTGTGCAATGTGCCTGTTTGTGTGCAGCTTTTTGAAAACTGGGTACCTTAAAAGAATAGGAAGAATCTGTATTTTATGCCTGTTGTTTCAGTATTATGAGGAGTTATGTGCAGATGACCCCGTGATGTCTCAGTCATACCGGATATCACTTTACAAACGGATTATTGTATGTACCTGGGTCAGATCCCTCTTTTTTGTTTGCTACTTCTGAAGCACTAATGGAAGATCTGGCTGCCTTGTCCACTGTCAAAGGAAATCCTTTTCAGAGAACTTTGTTGTGCTGTTCCTCTTCCCAGACCTTTCTGTTGCAGCAACTGTGTTAGCATGTTTCTTCTGCCCCCCCACCTGTGGTCAGTGCACATTTTGTTACTAATATGAACACTGCAGCATGATGGAAATAGGAGTGTCCTAGTTGTGAACTCCATGTTCTGGAAAAGAGCTAGTGATCTTCCACAGTTCTAGATTTCCTCTGAGTAAATATTTAGATAGCAATTTTTAATGATGTCATGTAACAGAATGGATTGAGAAGAAAGGGACAGGCTAAGCAAAGTTAGTGTAAATTTTAAAAATTGGTGGAGAGGGGTTTTAAAGCTATATTTCAGGGATGATGTTTACTTCACTAGCCTTATGATAAAAAAATATGAAAAGCACCAGATTATTTTTGTCTCTGCAAATCTATCCAGAACAGGAGTGGGCCTTAAGTCTGCCAAATGTTCTTGAAGGTTACTTGATGACTAGCAAGTGCTCAGTCTCCTTAGTCCTGTGGGAGAGAAACTGCCAGAAACCTGGGTGCTGGACCTGTTGAATTTCTTGAACAGGGCCACGCAAATCCTCTGTCATGCTGCATGTATTTCAGTGTATGTTAGAGAGCGAGATTTTTACATAACATCTGATGTTCTAGGCAATGCGCAGGCTTGCAAATTTTAACCAGATGGTGGCATTACCTTTCAGCTGTCCTGAGTTTCTCTTGTAGCACTAACAGCACTGGTTCTGTTTTGCCTGTTGCCTTTCTGACCCTTTTTAGCCTCTCACCCTTTTTCTTCCTCAATTTTATTGGGCAGGATTTAATGGAACAGCTGGAAAAACAGGACAAGACTGTTCGCAAACTGAAAAAGCAGCTGAAAGTTTTCGCCAAAAAAATCGATGAGCTTGAAGGTACAGTACTCGCCTGTGGTCAAAATTGTTTCTGCTTCTAAACATAAATACAGACGTATTTTATTATCTGTCTGAGGCAAGGATTTCTGATATTGTTCATGCAAAGTACAGCAGTATTCTGCAATAATAATTAAGATCGGATACATTGAAGAAACAGTACAGATTGTCCTGGGAACTGAGTGCAAGCTGGTTAAGGGAGGATGAACATTCAGCGTATTTTTTGCTTACCAAAGGACAGAATTGGGTTTTTGCCAAAAGCAAATGCTCCTTGATCAGTTCTCCCATTCTCCTGCATATGAGAGCACTTGCTATCAGAACTTATAACAGTAGCATATTGCCCTTGGATTCATCCTTGTAACAGCCATATAAGAATGACTTTCATACACGTAGAAAGTCTGTGATGTCATTAGAGCCAGAATATCAGTGCTTAATATAAAAAAAACCCTATCATCCTGTTCACAGAAAGTTGGGGATGTGATTGCCCTTTGCTTCAGCTACAGCAGGGATACAGGAAGTAAATTCCCCAAGAGCCTCCTCAGATTGGATGGGTCAAAATTTGAGCATTTTTGGGAGGTTTTGTAAGTTTGAGGGCAAAATTTAAATCTTGCAGAGGCTGCTTGAAGATTCAGCTTCTTAAAGGTATCCATTTTTGCCTTAAAATCCTGGAACACCCTCCCAAAATGGCCCTAGCCCTGTCATTTTGAGAGTTTGGCCCTTGAAATGTCATGCAAAATCTGAAAATCATGTCCTTTCGGGCAACAATAATGGCACTGGGGAAAAGCCCTTCTGCGGTGTAGGAGTGTTTTCATCCTAACAGCAGATCTGAGGGTTCTTTTTAATGGTATCCCAAGCGATATCACACAGTATAGTTTTGCACTCACTAAGAAACCTGACAAAGGAAGGTATTTTATTTATTAGATTTATATCACACCTTTCATTCAGGAGCTTGTAGTGTTTTCTCCTATTTTTTTTTCCCACAGCGATTTTTTCCAATTGTGTTTGCTTAAAATGCCATGTTTAAGTAGCCTGAGTATTTTATATTCCTTTATTAATCTTCCATTCTAACTACAGGAAAAGTTGTTGATCTGCATGTAAAATTTAAACTATTTTTCAGATGGTAGGATTTATTTGAAAAGCAATTTGGGTGTGCAAGTAAGAGATCCTGGCACTTTTGCCTTTCTACGGGATTTTGATGAAAATAGGCAGGATAAATTATAGATATTCACTGGTGAGGGGGGAGAGGTCAGGCTAAGTTTTTAAAAAGGTCATGCTAAGTCTGATAGCAACGTGGCATTGTAAGACTAGATCTCTATTATTATGTGGACATAAAACCAAATTCCAGCTGGGTAAATTTGGTTCTTTAAGTACCAAATGGAATGTTCATTTGCTCCTTTTTTCCAGGTTGATTTTGTGAGTGCAGGCTTCAGTTTGACAATTAGCACACAGCCTGGACCTAAACAAATGCACTTAAATATATCATAATATCATTAAAAGTGCTAATAAATAGGTATCTCTGTTCACCCATCCCTGACTAATAAATGCTGGTGTAAGAGAAAATGATGCTTTTCCAGCTAATTAATCTTTGTAGAAAACTTTCTGCCGTGAGGTGGTTGTCTACCAGATGCCGTAGTTTGCCACACAAGGAAGTCTGCACCCTAATTAAAGCCTTCCCTGAGGTCTGCTCTTGGTTTGCCTCCTAACCCAATCTTGGTTCTTCACTTGATTGTATTTCACCTTTTGTCAGGAGATAACACATAGAAATCAGAGACTTCTTTACTTGGTAGGCACCTTTGCAGGGAGAACAACCTATCTGGTGGCGGGGGGTGGGGGGGAGTGCTCTCTTAAAGATGACATTAAAGGAGTGGCTGAGATCTAATCATTGCCTTCCCTCTGCCATGCTAAATATAGCCTGAAGTGTTGGCAGGGTGATTGTGTTTCAGGTCCTTTGTTCCTGAATTTAACAAGGTATGCAGGCAGCACAGGGACATTTCAAAGCTATGTAGAAACTCTGGATTCTAGAAGCTTTCTGTCATCGATCTGCTGTCGGTTAACCTTAGTAGTTTTTCCAGTTGCTGTGTGTTATATTTATTGTTCTAGACTGACACAAGACCAGGTTAAGTTTCTAGCTGATCAGCATTCCAGAGCACATTCCTGGTTTTAACTCAACCTGCTCAGGGCATTCCTTTAGAATTTTTTTTAGAAAAAACAAATGACTCTTTCCAATATTTCCTTAAAAGGGTTCTACAGACCCATAGCCAAGCCTTAAGCAACATGTGCTTTCAACGTGTTCATAAACAATATGTACTTTCTCAGTAGTAAGTAAATCTCCTAATGGATTGGAGCTGATTCATTAATTCTCAACAAGAAAACTCCACAGTTCAGTGCCAGCTCCCTGGATCAAATTTAGCTTTTGTTTATGCCCCACTCCCCTCTTGTTCTTCTTGATTTAGTGGGCCAGATGGAGAACATTTCACCTGGACAAATAATTGATGAGCCGATACATCCTGTTAATATTCCAAGGAAAGAAAAAGACTTCCAAGGAATGTTAGAGTACAAGAAAGAAGATGAACCAAAACTTGTTAAGAATCTTATTTTGGGTGAGAGACCTTTCTATTTATAAAGTGTACCACGTGGTGGTTTTGCAAACATATGTTACTTTTTCCGTTATGTACAGTTTAATTGTTAATCTGTTGCACAACTTGATCGCTTTTCTCCTTCGATAGCTTTATGCTCTTCTGTGCTATAATAAGCCCAGTTAATTTTTTGAATTGATGATTGCACAAAAAAACACAAACTTGGAATAAAATCAATACTATCCATTTTAAAAGGACAGAGAATTACTAATTACTTGAAAACAAACAAATTACTTTTATTATTATTTTTTATTTTATTGTGCCTTTTATTGTACTGACTCAGTCTTGACTCCTGGAGACTGCTTGGACAAGTCCATGCAGGTTTCTTGGCAGCGGTTTTGGAAGCGGTTTGCCCTTGCCTGCTTCCTAAGGCTAAGAGAGACTGGCTCAGAGTGCCGCAGCTGGCTTCATGCCTAAGGCAGGATAAGAACTCATGTTCTCCTAGTTTCTAGCCCAGGGCCTTAAACCACTTCTGGCTCTTTGCAGTTTTATTTATTTATTTTTTTAGCTGTTCAATTGTGTCCAGTTCTTGGAGACTGCTGGACAAGTCCCTGCAGTTTTCTTAGCAAGGTTTTTTCAGAAGTGGCTTGCCATTGTCTCCTTCCTAGGGCTGAGGGAGAGGGACTGGTCCAGGGTCACCTAGCTGGCTTTGTGTCTAAAGCAGGACTAGAACTCACAGTCTCCCGGTTTCTAGCCTGATGCCTTAACCACTTCTCCAAACTCGCTCTCTGCTGTTTTATCAGGGCATGTTAAATAGAGTGATCTGTGAATTCCTGGGTTCCTCTTTGTGACTTCTCCCTTAGACCTGAAGCCTCGTGGAGTGGCAGTAAATCTCATCCCAGGGTTGCCAGCTTACATTTTGTTCATGTGTGTGCGCCACGCTGACTACCTGAACGATGATCAAAAAGTGAGGTCCTTGCTGACTTCTACAATTAATGGCATCAAAAAAATTTTGAAGGTCAGTTTACAATTACAGTTAAAATGTCAACCCAGAGCGGTATTAAAAGTATTGCTGATGAGCTTGTCTCTAAATCATTGGTAACATAACCACTCTATTATGAAAACACGACATGAGTTTAAACTGTTTAGTTTTTCTGTAAGACAAATAAAAGATGACTAGCATAACTTCCATTCATGGCACAGATTCCGTGATGTAGAAATTGATTCAAAGAGACAGAACACTCTGCAGAATCTAATGCAATGTAGAAGTACCTTTTAATTTAGCAAAGGAAGTGTTCCATTATCAATAACCTTGCATTTTAATCCTCTTTTAATGCATACTGCCTTTTCATTATTACTGTTGTTATTTTTGCTTTTAGAAAAGAGGCGATGACTTTGAAACAGTCTCCTTCTGGCTGTCTAACACGTGCCGATTTTTGCACTGTTTGAAGCAGTACAGTGGTGAAGAAGTAAGTTTCTCCATTTTAGTTTATTTCTGTTGATTAAAGTGCCTTGAAGGCTTGAAGCGAGAGCGAGGTCTCATTCCCCTAGTAGGCCTAAAGAAAGTTAACCATACTGTCTTCATCAATGGCACTTTTGTTTTTTTAAAAGTTGTTGCCCTCTTCACCTGTTTGGATATGACAGTGTAAAATATATAAATACAAACTTGGCTATTTTTTCCTGTCCCTGCAGGGGTTTATGAAGCATAACACATCTCGTCAGAATGAACATTGCCTGACTAATTTTGACCTTGCTGAGTACAGACAAGTCCTAAGTGACTTGGCCATCCAGATCTACCAGCAGCTTGTCAGAGTTTTGGAGAATATTTTGCAGCCAATGATTGGTAAGGTGAAACAGAACAACGCACGGGAGAAACCTATGGCGGCCTTTTCTAATTAAGAAAGTCATTTTCATCATTTGGATTTTTCTCTGATAATTTCCACTGATGTTGCAATGAAAGAATTTTGTTTTGTATCAGTTGTATAAGCCAAGTTCAGAGTTAGAGGCTACACTGCTACATGCTTAGGATTATTAGGCAAGTGAACTCCATGATTGTCTATAGCTACCACCGTACTTATGAAGTCTATATCCTGCTTGCAGGACCCAGTGCAGCTGGCTGTTGAATACTAGTCACTGCCAAAGAGGCTTTGTGGTCCTTGGGACCTGCTTGTGGACTTTCCAACAGTAGCTCATCTGTGGGCAACAGAATGCTGGACAAGTGAGGCCTGAGGTCTGTTCCAGCAGGGCTGTGGTTAATATTCTCAGAAACATCTGGTTCTGAAACTGCCAGAATATTGGCTGGATCAATTAATTTCTGTGCTGTTGAAATTAAATTGCTGCTTCTGTTCCTCAAAATACCAAATAACAAGTGGGACCTGATGATCTCAAGGACTGATCAACATAGGAACACCTGCTCGGAGTCACTGAGTCAGTGGGTAGCCGAACAAATATGAGCCTTTTCACTCATTGTGCTACTGATTTAGTAGGTCTTCCCCAGGTGGTTTGTCCTGCCCCAGGACTATTTATTTGGTGAAGACTTGCCTGTTTCAGGATATTTTTTTTTAGTATGGAAAGTTTTCAGATTTTTCCTTTTGTTTTAGCTTGGCTTATGATTCTGTGCCACAGGGTTGTTTTCTTCTTACCGTTTTGCCATTTTCTTGCTTGAATAGGCAGTGGGGGTTCATGTTTCAAAATACCATAAAAGTTTATTCATGCTTCTTTTGTTTTTGTTCTCAGAAAGAGTATTTCTCAACCAAATTAGTGATATTTTTAATCAGTTTCAGGAATGCTGGAGCATGAAACTATCCAAGGAGTGTCAGGGGTGAAACCCACTGGCCTCCGAAAGAGAACCTCTAGCATTGCCGATGAAGGGACATACACTCTGGATTCGATAATCCGACAGCTGAACACCTTCCACTCCATCATGTGCCAGCACGGCATGGATCCTGAGCTGATCAAACAGGTGGTCAAGCAGATGTTCTACATCATTGGGGCTGTCACCCTCAATAACCTTCTCCTGCGAAAAGACATGTGCTCCTGGAGCAAAGGAATGCAGATAAGGTGGGGATATCTCCTTCAGTATTTTAAGTCCTTTGAGATATACTGCTTGGCTGAACAGGGAATTATTTTGAGTCAGTCTTGTGTTCTTAACATGAAGGCTTTATTGTGCAGGTAGTTCTTGCTTAACTACCCACAGTTGGGATTGGCAACCCTGTCGCTAAGCGATGCGGTTGTTAAGCGAGGCATCATGTGACTGTGATGGACTTACAACCTTACTTCTGCCATGGTCATTAAGTGAATCACCCACAGTCATTAAGCAAGGCATCACATGACTGCAACTTGCGATTTTACCGCTGGCTTCTCCATTGACTCTGCTTGTCGGAAGCCCGCTGTAAAGCATGCAAATGGCGATCACGTGACTGCGGGGATGCTGCAATGGTTGTAAGTTCGAGGACTGGTTGTAAAGTTATTTTTTCAGCACTGTTGTAACTTTGAACAGTTGCTAAACAGGGCAGTTGTTAAGGACTACCTGTAGTTCTAACTCCAATGTTATGTTCTAAATGGGATACCCTGCCAAATAATTTTCATATGATGGTTAATAATAACAACAATTATTCATTAAATTTATATGCAGCCTGACCCCCAGTGGCTCCAGGCAGTTTACAAATTGTTAAAAACACAAAAAATACAAAAAACACAAAAACAACACAAAACAAAGGAACAGAGATGGCAGAGAAAACAAATAAATATGCTATTGATTACCCTATTTAAAAAATTTGAATTCCTGAACAGATTAGTGTATTTTTGTGCCTGAATCAAAACCCTGTTTCCCCTGCTAAGTATAAAAGAAGACGATGCAATGAAAAATAATTTCACTCTATCAAACTCAGCACTAAGTACCAGAAAGAGTAAGAATTAGGGGGTTTTTATTCCTGCCTGCTACATGTGATTTAGTGTTTGGTGTTCTAAAGGTATTCTGTATGTTTCTTGTCCATAACAAGGAGCTGCTGTTTCACTTGTAACAAACATTTTTGTTAATAATTAACAGAGCACTGCTTGAAGGGCTATTGAACAAGAATGACTTAAGAAAATGATTTCTACTTGTTCAGGCTGACTGAAAAAGTTCTTAAAGATGGTGATTATTTTTTAAAAACACATTAAACACGTAGGTACAATGTAAGTCAGCTAGAAGAATGGCTTCGTGACAAAAACCTGATGAACAGTGGGGCAAAGGAGACCCTGGAGCCGTTGATCCAGGCTGCTCAGCTGCTGCAAGTGAAAAAGAAGACGGACGAGGATGCAGAGGCCATCTGCTCCATGTGCCACGCATTGACTACTGCGCAGGTAACCTTCTTGGACACCACTGTGGCTGACCTGACCACATGCTTTGCATCTGTCTGCCCTTTGCCATTTTGCTCTTGCTGTGAGAGGAGCGTGCCTTGCATGCGCAGCTCAGAAGGGTGAACCGTATAAAAATCAAATGATGGAAAAAAAGAAAGCTTTGGAAACTTATATGCCAAATGGAGATTACATTAAAGAGAGCCATTGAAAAACAAAGGTCCTAGTTTTGCTTTTAGGATTTGTTTCAGGGAGAAGAACAGAATAAGGTTCTTTGTTCTTTTAGGGAGAAGGATTTTTTTTTTTTAAATCCTTTGGAACACAGTGTTATGTACATTTAGTATAATTTTGACTGCGTGCATTCCAGTGTTGCTATCAACTGAAACAAAGAGTAGACTTCTTGAAGAACTGTACATACCAATACTGATTAAAAAAAAAATAAGTTGGCAAAGTTTGTCATAGGAGTGATCCCATTGCAATCACATCATGATTAACAACTCCTAGTGACTTACGTTTAAAATATTTGTTGGTGTAAATAGCAAGAATCTGTTAGCAATATCTTTTTTTTTCCTTTAGATTGTGAAAGTGTTGAACTTATATACTCCCGTCAATGAGTTTGAAGAAAGGGTGTCTGTGTCTTTTATCCGGACGATACAGGTAAAAACTGTTTTCTCTCTTCTCACGGATTGCATCTTCCGAGAGGTAGGAAGGGAGGAGAAAGAGCAGCATTAGTATTAGAGTTTCTTAATAGGAAGAGAAAGAAAGCTGCTACTATCATTGCTCTCTCTTTCCCCTCCATACCTCTCTTCTGATAAGCATATGAGCATTATTATTAACAAAGAATTCATCAAGATGATGGGATAAGACGGTCTAGGTGGGTTTATTTACTAAAAATTTTGGGAAATGGGAGAGCGGTAAAAGTAAATTAACTTGAGAAAATGAAGATGTATTTGGGGAGAAATAGTCCCTGTTCCCAGCTTTGGAGAGTCAGCCATTTCCTGTCTGGATATTCCACTCTTCATTTGATCCCGCAGTTTTAGTTCTACTTCCAGTTCTGCTGCTCTGAAGCAACAGAGCTTTCACAGCTAGCCCCATTAACAGTTTTGTGCATCCAGCAAGCAGCTCATTTAACTCCAGTGGAAAATCAAGTAGCATGTATTCTGATGTCTTGTAGATGAAAAAGACAAGCCTGTCTCCAAAGAGAAGCTGACTTGGGTTAGTTTGGGGATAGAAGGTGCAAGAGTCTCAGAGAATATTTTCATATTGATGGGACAGACCTCTGGGTATAGAGATGTGATTTGGGAAGAGGAATGAAAAGTTCTTCCAGGCAGTTTCTGGCACACACTCAGCTAGTAGAAATTAGGACAACAAACATTTGTCTGTTATCAGTAAATTGAGGAGAATGGTATTAACAAATTATATCAATGAAAGCATGTGCATTCAAGAACAGTGTGCAATGATAACAGGCAATTCACTTTGCATGAAAACGTTGCCTTCTAAACTCATGCCTCAAAGGAGTGCTTAATATCTACAAGTGTGCATCTGATGCATGCTAATATCACTGCAAGCTTACTTTAAAACAACAACTTGTCTTTAAAAAAAAAATAGGATTGCTTTTTAAAAGAATGTATTTTTAAACACTCTTGGATGGAATGTCAGACTCTGTATTTAAATAAGATATTGATGCGATCCATTCTTATCTTTCTTATCTTTGCAGCTGCGTATGCGAGACAGGAAGGATTCTCCTCAACTGTTAATGGATGCTAAGCATATTTTCCCTGTTACTTTTCCATTTAACCCATCCTCTCTTGCATTAGAAACTATCCAGATTCCAGCAAGTTTGGGTCTAGGATTCATCACTCGGGTCTGAACAAGAACAGAGTTAAGCTGTTGACCATCAGTTTCTACTTATAATCTCTAATAATGAAAATAAATTCAGTGAAAAGCCATTGGGGGTTGGGGAGGAGTAGAAGAAAAAGACTGGAGGAAAATCTTGTGTATGCTCTAAACTGCATTGCAGAAAACTGGAATGCTATATAATTATCTCATAACTGAAGGCTGATGGAAACCATGCACATTTGTACAAATTCACTAGTCTCGTGCTGAGGCCTACATAAAGCTTTCAGATTAAGAAAATCTTCAGTACACACCTAAATGTTTTTCCCCCTGTTGGTTGCAAGCTGTCTTATGTTTGCATTGTAAACCAAAAACGGTCTGTGACTGATAAATCATGATTTTTTTTCTTTTCATTTTAAGATCAAAATTATAATGTGTACCTGATGGCAAAGAGAAAATTGTGTGAAGTGGAATTTTCTCAGTTTAACAGTTCTGAGAATCCCTTCATACATTCCGTATTTCACACGTACACTGTTTTGTACAAAACAGCCACCAACAATCACAGGTTCCTTCTGTGCCTCCGCTGGGTGGAACAGCGTTCTATAACTCTTTCCAGTGCGATGGTGTGAGTGTGTACATCCAATCCATAATGTGTTTCTGATTCTCATGTTGACCAAGAAGCTAAAGCTGAGGCTATATTAAATCTCCTTACAAGACATTTCAGCATAATTAAGTCATAAGTGATCTGCTAATTAACAGGGACCAGGGAGGAGCTAAAGCCAGGTGTGATTTTCAGTGAAGAATGGAAATGTTTAGGGATAACTTTGTGTGTGTGTATGTGTGTGTGTGTATCTACATACACACACACATATCAAAGACCTGAAAATGTAACCAAAATGGGCAACTTACAGTATAATTGATCAGGCATTTCGCCTGTACAAACTATATTGAAATACGTAGTAGTCATACTCTTGAGAAACACCATTCATTATGACAAGGTTAAATAGTCTTTTTTTTTTTTTTTGGTAGATTTCACCCTGAGAGATAGTTGATCAAAATTGCTTCCCTATTTATGTCAGTGTGTGGCATAAATGATGAAATAATCAAAACTATTCTGGTTTACTGTCTGGTACAATAGAGCTGCTTATTAGTACTATTTCAAAATATATCAGAAGTGTTGCGGTGTACTGTGTTCTTTTAAATGTACAATACTTTTTAAGGAGCAGAAATGCAGGTTTATAAAATCAATACAACTTTAACAGTCCGGTCTGCAAGTGTCAAGAAACATAAGTGGTAATAGGAAATTATAACTAAGCACAATCTAAGAAACTGGAACCCGGATAAGGATTATTTGAGGTTTTCTAAAGTCAAAGAACAACCCAACTATATTATATTTTATATTTATTTATTGTTTTGGTGTATGTTGGCTTTTCGTTTTGGTTTTTTATTTGCCACATGTCTAATGACAGCGTGTAATATTTATTTTGGGGGCTTGGGGGGAGTTTTTTTGTGGAGAAAGGGCTCATCTAAAATGCATCTCAAATATTTATCTGGAAAAGAAACTATTCCCCTACCAACACCCCACTCCCAATCCTATGATTTTCTTAAGACCTTGCTACACATTCATTATTTTAAATGTAATGCTATCCCTAATTTGGACCTACTTTATTAAAAAAGAAAGAAATATTCCCTTTCTGCTTCTCTGGGAACATTTCATTTGGACACATTATGAACAAGGATATCATTTGAGGAAAAGATTTTTCCAGAATCTCTCAGGTTGCAGATACTTGTCATGATTTTCCTCAGTGTGAAACTGACATTTTGAAATGTTTGTGGGCCCTCACTTGTTTTCCAGACCCTTTTTTAAAATAATAATAATAAAAAACAGATATGGTCAGTGATGATCAGACATATGTTGGAAGACGCTGCATATTTTGAAACTGCTGTGTGCAATATTTTAATGTATCATAAAAATTGAAGCGTATGTTTATTTTCAAACATATCTCTGCTGTAAGTGCACATTATTAAAATGGTCTGGTACTGGACTTAATTTTCTCTGTGCACCTAAAAGATGCTCTCGCTTGAAGAAAGAAACAGGTTTAAATAGGTTTTTCATGGGTGAGAAAGAGATGTGACTGACAGGGTCATTTTTGAGGTAAATAAAACAAACCCAATATTCTAATAGCTCGTTTGGGATACCCTTCCCCCATTTTTGTTTTGTTTTATTGTGGGTAGGGAAGTATATGCTCTTTAATTGATTCTTTTTTTAAAAAAAAGAAACATTCAGGTACCTGCACTCAAGCATAGCCTTTAATGTGTGTTCTTTATTTATGGTACATTAATAGGTCTTTACTTGAACGTGTTTACTTTATAGCTGGCATCATGTTTACAAAAATGACTAAGAGGATGTGTTCCTCCTATTAAAAGGCAAACTTCCTCTGTGGCTGTAGCCAGTTAGGGCTTGTTACCATGAAAGAGATGAAAGTTGCTGTCCTAGAGTGGCCATTGCCACACTGATGGCTTCCTAAGTTATTTGGATTCTGTTATCGTAATCTCCCAGCCACAGGTGTAAACTAGTCCATTTCCTGTGCGGGGGCTGCAATCAAATAATATGTGTCCCATGAATATCTTCATAGAGCAGGTGAAAATACAAAACAATAACAATAGAGTTTTAATCAGTCATCTTTAGGGCTATAATGGAGCACCTGAATGAAACTGAGAATGTTTCAGAGACACTGAATATGCTTTGCTGAACTGGTGACACCAGTTAAATTGGCATTGGAGGTTGACTTGGGTGTGCCCCTTCTGGAGAACCTGGGAGAGGGCATGTGCCCTGTTGTCCCCTCCCCCCCAAACTCATGTTCCCAGCAAGATTTGCCATACTGTTTGTGGATTATGAGCATTTATGTTCAGAATCTGTGGGGAACAAATTAAGAAGAGTAACCTTAGAAGGCCCTGGATTGGTCAGCTTGGGATGTTTACAGCTACTTACATGGCGAAGTACACTAACTTCTCAACTTTTACGGGATTCTTAGTGTATCATGAAAAGGCTATAACAGAAATGATTTAAGAAGACAGCAGTACTTTTAAAATCTAGTACCCCAACTAATTTTTCTCCCAGGACATCTTCCTACTGATTCTCTAGAAGTACTGGAATTCTGCCTTTTCATTTCAACTGAATTTTTTTCCAAGAATTTAACAATTCCAGAAGTGATAATATTGTTTAAATGTATAGTTTTTAATTTTCATTTTATTTGTATAAAAGCCTTATTGTATCTTGTTTACTAATTAGAGTGATAGATGCCTATAGGCGTTATCCTCATACTGAGCAGTCTGATTAATACATGTTTCTGTCACATTAAAACCGAATGCTGCTTTACATGTTTTAAAGGAAGCTATTTCTGAGTTTAACTGTGTTTTGTAATTCATTAAATACTTTACATATCAGTATTTTACATGCACTTTTCATAGGTTTAATATTTTAATGTTACATGCTATAAAACCAGCTGTTTTCAAGTTAGAACTTGTAGAGTCTAACAATTCTCATTTTGCTATTTTTTTTCCTTTTAAAACATGATCATGTTGTTTTAATGTGGAAGTGTTGCTGTTTCTAATTTTAACTGATATGCTATATCCTCCCCAGTGCTGAAAGAAGTGCTTTTGAAATGTATAGACCCGAAGTATTCCTCAAATATTACCTCATTGTTTCAGATAGTTTTTGCTTTTCTTCCAATGACATGTTCAACATAATCTCATGCCCCGCATTTGGAAGAATATTTCTCTAGCTTCTGTCTGGAACAATTTTGTTTTATGGAATGTTAATCAGTTGTGCAATCCCGTGCACACTTTTAAAGCCCTAAGAAAGTTGCAGGTAAGGATTAATGCACTGTACTTAAAACACGCTTGTTTTGATCATGCAGCTTCTTTCTTGCTTGTGCTGGACCTGTTGTTTTCAGTGCACTCCCCCACAGAATCCCACCATCATGAGGGTATCCTGGGTAGGTTGGGGTCATTGACTTGTCTGTTTCCACGTGTACAAAGCTGTGTGCATCTGGTAGCAGTCTCAGTAAATTTGCACTATTCATAAGAGGTCTCTCCTGATAGAAAGATGTCTGCTTTTGTGGGGCAGATTCTCCCATGACATCTGATCTCATACGCAGCAGATTTTGGCAAAGGAAACAATAATTTCAGGGCCATACGTGGATACAAAGTCCTCCTGATTCCAATACTGTAAAGCTTTTCTCAAAGCAGCTCTCTTTTGACTTTTGAGTTAGTTTGCTATCTCAAACCCTCATGTCTTTTTCCTTTGAAGACTTTCAAAACTGGACACATTTCAATTTTTTTTTTTTTAATCGATCATTATACTTTTAAACTTGCAATTCCTTTTGAAGCAAAAACAACAGGGTGTAGGGTCTTTTCCCCACTAGACATTGCCAGAGTAGATAGAAACCAAAATGTTATCTGAATGACTTACGCTTGGAATTGTCATGGTGTCTGACATAATTAATAAATGTATGCTTCATAAATGCTGTATCTTAGAAGAAATGTCCAAATAAAAGGAAATGCTAAAAAGTCTATTTGTCAGTCTCTTGTATGAAAGGCTATTTTTGAAGGGATGAATTAGTCATAATGATAACCTCAGTATCCTATCCATTAAATCACCTCAATATGTCTTGGGCCCAATAAATGACTTGTGCTCATGTACAGTACAGTATATCAACCTAACCCTCTTGTGCTGAAGTTGCTTTAGAAAACTATATTTCCAAATGCCATCCGTTGTATTTGATACCTGCATTTTTTTCAAGCCATTTCTACATTGGAAAGTAAGTACAGTACATAAAAGCTGGCAAGAAGAATGGCCTTTTGTTTTAAAAGGAGCGTGTGAGAAAAATATCCCAGAGGGAGCCCGAGCATTCAGTTTCCCGCCTCCAGCTTTTTCTGAGATGGCTTTTAAACTACAGGCCTCGTAGTTGTAACATCTGGAGCAATTTTGGATGCTCGCTTGAACGCCTAACCTGATGAATTCCGGGAGATTAAAAAACGTGCATACTTTTTGTGCCATTTTGCGGGGGGAGGGCGTGGTAGGCCAGCCTTTCTCCAGCGAGAGGCCACTGAGGTAAACCCCCCCCCATTCCCCCCAGCCTCGTATGTTGTGCGAATCCAGCCACTTGGGCTCGGGGTGGGGCCGGCACGCAAAGCCCAGCGCGTCAGGTCCGCGCAAAACAAGGCAGCCTTGGCAGGCGGCTCCAATCTGGAAGTTTC